TTTCATATTATCATGTTGATATGATGTGGTTTTTAGTCTAATTTATTGCTAAACCAATTTTTATATATTCAGATGTCATGAGTAGTTATAATATTTAACTTTGTATTACTCATGTTTAATGTTAAGACTATTCGTTATGCAAATTTATATTTTATGTGAAATTTTACTGAGCAAAATATAAACGATAAGGCACAGGGCATAATATGAGCAAAGAAATGGACATGAATACAATATTTTTTATATTATAAGAGTTCCAAACAATATGGAAAAGATGAGATTAGGACCATTAAATTTATGAATTTCAGGTTGCTAGCTATGCATTAGATAGAAGGGCTTTTTATACTCGTACTTTAGGTGTAGCATTGAGGAGGGTTAAGATTTGGACCATTTAATTTGATTTAATTGCGCAGTTGCATTTTATTTCGTATTTTAGTAGGTGGATTTGTGGAAGACTTTGGATTTTGATGCTCTGATAGTTTTATTTAGTGATTAAACACTATTAAATGGATATATATATATATATATATATATTGAATTACTTTCTTGATCTTCATCTCATACTCTTATGCTAGATTTTCTTAATTTCTTCCAAGGCCCAACAAGCAGGGTGTGCTAGAGCTGGCATTTCAACTTTATTAATTGTGAATTGTCCATGTCCACATCGAAAGCCTTGTCTTTTGTACGTGTTTGATCTCATTTATAGCTTTTTCTCTTGAAGCCTATCTTCTTTTTATGTATTTATGTCTTTATATATTTATCATTTTATTTAAAATTTGAGATCTTATAAATGAATTTCTTGGCCTTCTAAAGCTTTTGATTGGCAAACAAGGAAATTGTGAAGAGGTTGATATGCCTCGGCAAAAAAATCATCGAACAAACCAAACGAAATCCCAAAAGATGTGTGAAAAAACATAAATAAGGGTTGCTCTTACAACAATCAAAGGAAAAAAAATAACAAGATACAAAGATGATCTACTTTCGAGAGATAGATCGGCTCTCCCGTACCCTAGAAGTCGCTAGGAGCAACACCGAAAGAAATGAAAACAATAGCCACACAAAAACATGCATGAAAATAAAGCAAACCCTAGGTTCCCCCTTTAATAGAATTCTCATACCGCATTTGAAAACTTTACTTATAAACTCCCCTCCAAACTCCCCTCAATTTCTACTCCTTGAATATGTGATTATGGCTCGAGTGGATCCCATCCTTTCCTTTTCTTCTTCTGCGACTCCCTCTGTCCGCTCCCTTTCTTCCTATCACCAAGACCGGCTCGCCTATGGGCCGATTCTATTGCTTTTAGCCAGTCCAGGGTGGACCGGCGCTTGTAAGAGTGTAACATGCGTAATATTACTCTCCTCCCAGAAAAGTACCTTGTCCTCAAGGTGAAAGATGAAAACTGTGGATCACCTCTTAAGACTCCCATGTTGCCTCATAGTATTGTAGCCTTTTTCATTTGACCATTACCTCCTTTGGTTACCCCACTCCTCAGCGTACTGCTTCGTTCTCGAAAGGTTCCAAAATCACCTCCAAGTCTTTTTGTCAGTGTCGACAATAGTGTAGATCTCCAATTGCACATCTTAGTACATTGAAGATCGGGCGTAGTGTGGTTGATGGTGGTAACTTCAAACGATAGGCCACCGCCCCGATGCATGTCATCACCTCATAAGACCCAAAGTATCTCGGTGAAAGTTTCTCGCTTCTCCTCCTGGCCTCGCTTCTCCTCCTGGCCAATGTCTTTTGTCGGTAGGGCCTCAGCTTCAAGTAGACTATGCCCCTTTGTTTGAATTGCACATCTCTCTGTATACATCCACTTTCCTCTTCATGATTTGTTAAGCCCTCAAAAGATGCTCAAAAGATGCCCCTTGAGCTTTGCTAGTATCCTATCTCTCTCCTCTAAGTACTGATCAATTTTGGATACAGGTGTAGTGTTATGCACATAATGTATGAGGTGGATCTCACCCTTGTGCGGCAGTGTGGTATGAAGTATTATACCAATACTCGGCCTATGCAATCCAATTAACCCATAACTTCGGTATATTAGATACAAAATAATGCAGGTTTGTCTCTACGCTTCTGTTGACCACCTTTGTCTGCCCATTGGTCTGTGAATGATATTTTGTGCTTCTTTTAAGGACTGTCCCTTGCAACCTAAATAGCTCTTTCTAGTAATGGCTGAGGAACACCTTGTACCTATCTGATACAGTCGATTTCGACACTCCGTGCAAACACACTACTTCCCGGATAAACACTGCCGTGACTGAGACTGCAGCGTAGGGATATCGTAAGAGAATGAAATATGGATACTTAAACGGTCCACGTCCACCATAATCACCGTGAACCCTTCTGATCGTGGCAGCCCCTGACGCTTCTTTCCAAACCTTTTTCGGTAATGCAAATGGTTGTGGTAACCCCCTAGTGTTGTGGTCAATTACTTGTGGTGCTGACACATATCACATTTTGTCACTATGTCCTTCACGTCTTTGCGTATCCCCGCCCAATAAAGCTCTGACGTCAGACTACTGTAGGACTTTTTCATCCCTGAATGACCCCTGATCATACTGCCATGAAACCATTGTAATAATCTGAGAATGTACTCTGATGAGTTGGGTAGCACGAATCGCCCCTAGTGGAGCAGCTATTGTCCCCTCAATGCATATCCTGAATGACTGTTCGAATCCTGTTGTAATTCAGTCCTTAATTTCCTCAGCTCATCATCCCTTTCACTCTTCTCTCTCAAGGCCTCCGAATTTAGGACCAAGGGTACTGATAGGTTGTCAATTGGGGTTCCTCCACCTTCCTCGGCATCTCATCGGCTGCCTTGTTCTCCAATCCCGACAAGTACTGAATCTCGAAATCATATCCCAGTAGCTTGGATAGCCATCTTTGATGCTCCTCAGTCACTATTCGCTTCTCTAGAAGATACTTTAAACTCTCTTGATCTATCATAACCAAGAAATGTCGTCCTAACAAGTAGGGCCTCTACTTCTGAATGGCCAAGAAAATTGTCATCAATTCTTGCTCATATACTGACTTTGTCCTCTCTTTAGCTGTAAGAACCCGACTAAAGTAGACAATTGTCTATTAATCCTGCATGAACACTGCTCCCAATCCGTACCCTGACGCATCTGTCTTCACCGTGAATGGTTTACTGAAATCTAGAAATGGTAATATTAGTATGTTAGTCATGACCCTCTTCAGCTGTTCAAAGGCCTTTGTTGTTGCTTCTCCCCATTTGAAAATGTCATTCTTCGACTGCTTTGTCAGTGGCGATACTATCGTGCCATATTCTTTTATGAACTTTTGGTTGTAGCTGGTGAGACCCAAGAATCCTCTCAATTCCTTCAAATTTCTTGGTAAGGGCCAATCAACCATAGCCTCAATTTTGGACTGATCCATTGCTACGCCTGTTCTGGACACCACATGTCCTAGGTACTCCGCCTGCAACTGTGCAAAAGAACATTTCTTAAAGTTGGCATACAACCGGTACTCCCTCAACTCCCTCAATGTCTCCAAGACTATCCTCAGGTGCCTTACGTGCTCTGTCTCTGTACCACTGTAAATCAGAATATCATTAAAAAAATCGGGATAAATCTTTAAAGTAAGGTTGAAAAACTCTATTTATGAGGGATTGAAATGTCGTTGGGGCATTGGTGAGGCCAACCGACATCACTAAGAACTTGTAATATCTTTCATGTGTATTGAATGTTGTCTTGTGCACATTCACTGAATTCATCATGATTTGGTGGTGCCCTAACTTCAAATCAATTTTTGAGAAAGTAACTGTCCCATAAAACTCATTCAATAACTCATCAATTACAGGAATAGGGAACTTGTCCAACACCGTTTTCTTCTTCAAAATCTGGTAGTCCGCGCAGAATCTCCAACTACCATCTCTTTTATTCACCAACAAGACAGGACTGGAAAAAGAGCTCACACTAGGTCTGGTAATCCCAACCTCGAGCATCTCTCAGATCAGCTTTTCTATCTCATTTTTCTGAATCTGGGGGTACCTATATGGTCTGCCATAACCCCCTTCAAATTACACTACCATTGTCGTAATCCCTACACCTGCCCTTGTTACTGCAATAAACCCCTTCTTGCATAACTTTTGTTGTCCTCACAACACTAACTTCACTCTAATCTTTTACCGTACTCATCTCCAACCATTCCTTCCATTGCTACCATCTCCCCCTATCATCCCCCTGCTTGCTCCGCAAACCCCGGCCAGCCACCCCACTTGTTGTCCAGCTGGGGGTCACTCCTCTCGTCCTCTCCCTAGGGCGTTATTTGTGTTTGTTGTCGTTTATTTTCTGCTTTGAAGAGTCTTTGTTGTCATTTTTTGAATTTCAGCAATAATATTTTCGTTTCTATTATGATTTGGATTAACTTTGGTGTCACATCCTCCGTATCATATTAGTAAATCCAAATTCAAATCTAATTGTGTCACTTAATTTAAACTTGACGTTATCCAAATGGATAATTTCTACCTAATTTAAATAAAAAATATTTTAAAAAGCTAAATAAATTTTGAATCCTCGAGTCTAGTTTAGTCTAGACTTGAGTCTATGAATCCTCTCCCATATGCTGCATAAACCCCTCTTTGATTTTTTTTTTAAGATTTGCATACACGCCACTCAATTATTATGTATTTACATATCTAACACCTCAACTTTATTGTTTACATTAATGCCATTTTATCTATGCATCAAAAAGTGTATTTCACATTTAAAAAAGGTAGTGATGGTAGGATATTTTATGTGATAAGTAAGATTTGAGTGTTAGAAATGTAAAAAGTTAAAGTGTAGGTGTTAGATATGTAAATTTATAAGAATTGTGTGGTATACATGTAAATGCCCTCTTTTTTGTTTCCTCAATCGATTTTTCTCCCCAGTATTAAAAATGAATAGAAGGTGAGGCCCATTTATTACTTGAATCATGATATGCAATTTGCATTTGAATTCCTCCTAAACTGCTATTTATAAGTTCTGAATTTTTTCAGGCTAAATGAAGCTATTATGCACTTTGGAGAGAGCATCAAAGAAATCATAAATGAGGATTTTGGTGATGGCATGTAAGTTGAAGATTATCGACCACCCAAATTTAATCTTATCAATTTTTTTTCTTCTGTCAATTTTTTTCTGCATAATAGAACTAATCTATGACATTAGAATGCCATACTCCTTTTCAATCTATTTCTTCCCCATTTATTTGTTAGGAAATTGATAGGATCCGAAACCAAAAACAACAAACAAAGAACGACGAAATTGTAATAGATAGGTGGTAAAACTCAAACGATGGCTACTCTTACGAAAATCAAAGAAAATAAGCAAGATATAGTAATGATTTACTGTTCAATATGTAGATTGTTTCACTACAAACCCCAGACATAGCTAGGAACACCATGAGAAGAGAAGGAAAGCTGCAAACATACATGAAAAACCAACCCTAGGTTATTAGCCTTAAGATAAACCTATCACAAACACTTAAAACTTTCCTCCCAAACTCCTTTAATTTTCCCTCCCTGCGTATGTGATTAAAGTCTTCGTGGGCCCCACTTGTTTGTTGGACCCCTTTGCCGCTCCTCCACACTGCTCCTCCGCTGCTTGCTGAGCCGTCTGACCCTTAGATGGCTGTGGTGTCCCAGTTGGATGATTCCTGACCGGTCTCGCTTTGACCGGTTCAATAAGCGGCATAACGATACTTCCCTATCGAAAAAGCACATTGTCCTAAAGGTGGAATGATAGAAATTGTTTTCAGATCACCTCATAAGGTTCCCACATTGCTTCATACTCTGACAGATCCTTCCACTTAAAAGTACCTCCCTTGCTCCCTCCCCTCGGCGCACTCCTTCGACCTCTAAGGTTTTAGAATCACCTCCAAGCCCTCTGTCATCACAGGAGTAGTGACAATTAATTTCTCCTACTTGCGTATGTGATTAAAGCCTTCACGGGCCCCACTTATTTGTTGGACCCCATTGTCACTGCTCCACACCGCTCCTTCGCTGCCTGCTGAA